GATGAAATTTTTGTAGGACAGTTCTATGAATTTTTTATCTAAATACAAAACCAAATGAAGGAAACTATGTTTTCTTTAAATAGGTAATTTCTTAAATTCATTAGAATTGAATTTAAATATGAACTCATATTATGTGCTGATAGGATAAAACCAATTTCAGTAAAAATGTGGATTAAGACTGAGTATAAATGACAACTTAAGTTATTTATTAAAGCTACTTAAAAATGCTGACTCAGCATAATTGTGAGTTGTGTATCTTAAAAATTAGTACATTCACCCCATGTTTTTTTCTTTTCTATGAGTTTAGAGTAACATGTCCTGTACACCTGTAGTATTTTAAACGATTTTCCATGGTTTTTTTATTTTGTAGCATACATCCTTAAGGCGGGGGAGTCGTCACCTGCGCATGCGCCAGACGGCCATAGCGTGTCATTGTTTACAAACAAGCGTTTGCCCACGAGCCTTTGCGTTTTTAGCGTGTGTTGTTATCGTCGCTTGGAACTCAATTCCCGTGTGTGCGCATATTTCGAGCTTTAAATGAGTACGCGTATATTCGATGCTTGGTTAATTTACATACAACTCAATGCAGGTAATCATGACATTACAAGTACTTACACCACGAGTCCATTTCACTTATATCAAATCTATTTTCATAATTTCACATGACATGCAATACACATGGTTTGTTTTATCTCTCTATTATTGACTATTTATTTATTTCAGAAAAAGTCAACCCTATTTATGGTTCAGAATATCAAGTTTCCTGTTTGCAGACGATATTATAATCTACCTGTCACACAAGACATTGCATGATGAATACACTATAAAATGAGGCTTAGAGATGAACTTAACTCAATCACGTAGCTCAATTTGTCACCAAAACGGGCATACATTGGAAAAATCATCATTCATCATGGAAATATTTCATTATAGCGTAATAACGCATATTATTGTAACTTACATAACATATCGGACATTAACTTACAACCAGGACACTACTTTGCGCTTGGGTAGTTAAATATGTAAAGCGATATCACATTTTTATACTAGACATCTCTTCCTTCCAAGCTATTAAATCCATTTTTATTCCTTAAATTAGTATTTCCAATTTGGGGAGGTACAATGATATCATTCTGTTTCCAAATGATCACAAAATATTTTAATACTATGAGGTTATTACGAGAATAACGTTAAATACCGCAAAATTACGGCACGCTGTAACTTGTGACGTTACGGTGACAGATGTATTATAATTCTTTTTAGAGACTATTTGTGATAAATAATTTATGTGCCTATATGTGTTTATATCTTACACTCGAATGAATATATCTTGAATGCCTGTCTGGGAATTGAGAATAAATATACACATATTACCCAGATATAAAACATGTACTTCATAACACATTTATTCATTGTGTTTGATAAAATAAACATACGTATATGTATGACCATAATAGATAGTGTTTATTTTATTTTGTTGATTCTGAATATTTTGTTTTTCGTTGTTGTCATGCGCTCTTGATCAATCATTATTGCAAAATAAAATTGCAAAAATAAGATATTTATTATAAAGTATTTATTCATTTGGGATTCATTTGAAGACATCATTCTGAAATGAAAAAAAAAAACATGTACTAACATGTTGTCCTAACATTGATTACAAGTGTTCCACAGGGATAAGATCGCCGCTTTGAGGAACATGCTATTAATATGATAAACATACAGTTTACGATAATTGTGAAAACCAAGCCAAGAACGCTATTCTATACATTATTGGAAATAGTGGAACGCCCGAAAGTCGTGCTGACTATTAAAATACAGAGAGTTGGTGGGAACAGTTGTCAATTTGCATATCATTATAGTTAACGAAACGGACATTGTGCACACTGATAATAGACTTCGATTCGGAAGCAGCGATTCTTGGCTGTCCCATATTTCATTACATGAATATAAAATCAGAAGATTATGGTTGTAAATGTATAAATAAAGATGGTACAATTGAAACATTTACTCAGCAACAAAAAGAAAGTACTGTACAAGATCACGAATGGTAGTATAACTGTAGATACCCCTGGTACTTGTGATTAGTTGTGATTTCGTAATTCGACCACAAATATTTTGATTTAGACCACCAAGTTGACGGTCATCATCATATTTAAAAATTAATTTCTAGCCCTGCCTCGACACAACCCAACACAATGCTAGTAATGTGAATATAACCATAGTGATTATATATTGGTTACATATATCTTCGCCTGTTGAATAATATAACGTGAATACACAGTTACAATGCGACTTGAATGCAACCAAGTGTTGTATACAGTAGACAGTATGGAAAATCGTGTTGAATTGTTTTCTTATATGTTCATCATCGTCGTATTTTTCAGCATGAAGATTTTAAGCAGCACTTTGTAGTATATCATCGTCCAGATAATCCCCGATACACTCCAGACTGTATTTCCAAAGGATCTCTTGCTTTTCAGCATTCCTAGAAGTAATTTGAATATATTCATTAAGTGTTGCGAAATTAAGTTTAACAGTCAATTAGTAAAAGCTTGTATGCCCATCCATTTGAAAAGATTAAATATATAAACTCGGTACTGCCTGACAGGACACACTAATCAACTGTAATGTTCCCCGTACGGAACAGCTCAAAATGTGACTCTAATTATTGTAGTTTATTACGGTCAATTAAATATGACAGCTCAGCTATGAATCTCACTAACATAATGAAAATTTATATTAAATTCAATATATCCAATAAAGCATTTCATCACGGTGAAATAATTTGTTCTCGCAACACATGAAAACAATGAACGTAGCATAAATTGACCCAAAATGTATTATGTCCCATAAAGTATCAACGCACAAAAAATGAATCCTCCAGTGCGAAATGCAAGTACTCATTCCCGGTGTTACCTGGATAATGAAGTTGGTGTTTTCTTCTTGCACTCAGAAAAGTATACTCCAGTGACGTCATTGTATTCGGGATTCACTGCCAGGTCTATTGATGTTGCAGCGCCTTTCTCTACGTCTATTAACATGCCTGTGATAATATAATTATAATATCATATTACGGGCGCTAATTTATACTAGCTATACATAGAGAACCGAATGGGTAATTGATTAATTGATTAATCCATTCATTCATTCATTCATTCATTCATTCATTCATTCATTCACTTCATTCATTCATTCATTCATTCACTTCATTCATCATTCATTCATTCGTGTTCCTTGTTAATTTAACTATTGGTTTAAATATTTGGTTATCAAAGCAAATCCATGTACGAGATTTTGTCAATTTGAAACTATCAGACACGTTTTTCTCTCTCTACAATCCACAATTAAATCGTGCTGAAAAGACACGTTCATTTGCAATATAAATGCATTTGTTCAAAACTTTCAGAAAATAATTAGCATTCTCGGAGGGTCTCAAGTCTTTCCTGGTGATGATCAAAATCTGTGACTCGTAGCTGACATTATGAGTAAAAGATGTGACAGGATCTTACCAAAGCGTTTTAAAATACTCCAAACGTGCCTCAACCAATGGTCTCCAAAACTGTCGTTGACTGTTGTGTTAACGCCACCTGGATTTAATGATGTCACTGTGACCCCCGAACCTTCCAGTCTTCGTTGGAGACAAACCATCGACATAATCTAAAGAAGTTGCTCATTGGTCATTAACAATCAGTGAAACCTTTAACATCAAAACACTTTTACTATGATAATTCATCAAAAAATAACAGGAAGACGTCACACTTATATCATTTTTATATCATTCGTTGAAATCGAATCTGCTTCAAATACAAACCTGATATAGTTTTGAGTTCCCATAAAATTTAATCCTATCGTAGGATAGTTGTGCTTGAATATTCTCCATTTGTAATGCTCCGCTGGAGTGCGCCACCGACGATACGTTGATAATTCTACTTCCGGGTCCCGATGATTTCAAAAGTGGCAGTAATTGTAGCGTCAACAGAAGATGGCTCAAATAATTCACCTGAAACTGTTTTTCAAATCCATCATCTGTCATTTCTGTT